ATCTGCCCCTTCTATTTGCCAGGAGGTGATGGGACCAGTGGCCGTGATCTTAGTTTTTTTGATGTTGAGCTTCAGACCATTTTTTGCATTCTCCTCTTTCACCCTCATTAAGAGGTTCTTTAATTCCTCCTCACTTTCTGCCATGCTTTTGCATAGTCAATGAAGCAGAAGTAGATGTTTTTCTGGAACTCTCTGGCTTTCTCCATAATCCAGTGCATGTTAGCAATTTGGTCTCTAGTTCCTCTGCCCCTTTGAATTCAAATACTGTATCATTTCCTTCCTTTCAATTCAAGGGGGTAATGTTGGCTTATATAAATTTTTTATGGGGTAAAAGGTAAAAAAGTTCCCTGACCCCTGCACTAGGATGACTCCTGGATGGTTATCCGTTGGATAACAGCCTTGAAATTTTTATTACTTTAGAATTGTATTAATTTGCTTGATGTGTGCCCTATATATTATGGTTCCCAGTGTGGTGAAGTGGATAGAGTGATGGGCTAGGACTCTGGAGAACAGGGATCAAATCCCCATGTAGCCATGGAAACTGACTGGGGGACTGGAACTAGTAAAACCACTCCTTAAATATTTAATGTACCTTGAAAACACCGTTAGGGTCAGTGTAAATTGGTTCCAAACTGACAGCACATAACAGTTCTAGTACAACAGTTTCTTAAGGGACATTGTTATAAATTTCTATTTTTTATTTGAAATCTTTCTATTAGCTAATTTTCTTGCTGATAAATTTAGTGTAGACAATTTCCTTTTATGGCATTATAGGTAACATTTGTTTCATAGTACAGTGGTGCCTCGCACAACGGGTGCCTCACACAATGATACATTCACACAACAATGCCTTTTTCTGTTAAATTTGCGGCTTCACACAGCGATGTTTCCTATGGGGGATTTTCACACAACGATGTCTCTTTTTCGTTCCTGTAAAAGTGTCTTACAATGTTTGGAAGCCGTTTTAAATGCTTGCAATGGTTAGCCCACCTCCTGAAACCGATGCAAACATTGTAAGACACTTTTACAGGAGCGAAAAAGGACTTCGCAAAGCCATTGAAATGTATTGAGTCGGCTTCAATACATTCCAATGGAGCAAACATTGTTTCACACAGCGATGTTTCCTATGGGGATTTTCGCTCAAGGACGGCAATCCGTTCCAATTGGAACGGATTAACCGGTTTTCAGTGCATTCCTATGGGAAATGGTGTTTCACAGAACAATGTTTCACACAACGTTGATTTTTTTGGAACCAATTAACATCGTTGTGTGAGGCACCACTGTAGTTTGTAAGTTGTATCAAAATCCTGAATTTGTGTTCTTTTCATGAATGATTGTCTTAGATTGGAGAGGTGATGGCCTAAGAAATAACATTTTAAATGATGTCTATGTTCCATTGAGTAATTTTGATGGTATTGGTAATTTCAGGTATCTGATATGTGAGAATACACTTGTCAGGAAGCTGGCATTGGTGGCAGCTCTACTTTGAACATGCCTCTGGTAAACCTGGGTTTACGTTTGCATAATATGTCAAATGATCTTTAGTTAGAATACCCCTACAGTGATTATTCAAGTTTGTAGAGAGTTCAGCTGCCCAAACTGTTCAGTATGGTGTATGATAGGTGGTTCAGACATATTCATGGTTAGAGTAGACCCACAGAAATTCATTAATGTCTGTAGGTAAATTTCAAATCACCTTTACATTTCTTATGATTTTTAACTTGTCAGAGTTTCTTGTTGTAATAAAATCCACTGTGATTTTTCCCCTTCAGTTTACCGACAAAGGAGGATTACCTCTTGGATGGAGAATAAAGGACCCAGAACACTGGAGTCAACAAGGTAAACAAGACAGCACACTAAAATTGATCATTTTATTATGAGGGATGCTGATAAGTATTGAGCCTTTCCCAAAAAACTTGAGCTAGGAAGCTATAAATTTCAGGGTGTGTTTGCCAATTGGCCTATATTCAATGGTGGAAAAATCAACTACCTATGATTTTTTCATGTTCAGTTCCAAATTGAACATGGCAGCACCTCCAGAAAAGTTCAGTGTGGAAGAGCATATGACCATAATCAAGTTCCTGTTTCTCCAAGGGAAAGGTACAAAACAGATCCATGATGAAATGTCACAAACTATGGGTGACAGTGGCCCTTCATATGCAACAGTTAAACGTTGGGTTGTCAATTTTAAAACTGTCCATTTCGGTGTTGAAAGTGAGAAACCCAATGGAAGTCCTGTTTCTGTCTCTGTGCCTGCAGATGTGAATGCCATCCATGACATGGTCATGGAGAATGGCCGAATATCAGCCAAAAGTATTGCTATATATCTGATAATATCACCTTAGAGACTTGGTGCCATTATCCACAACGACTTGGAAATGAGAAAGCTGACAGCAAAGTGGATCCCCAAACATTTGACAACCGAACAAAAGAAGAAACGTGTGGAGTCATCGGTGGTTGTTTTGGAACATTTTGCAAGAAATGAGTCAGATTTCCTGGGCAAACTGGTAACTGGTGATGAGACATGGATCTATTGTTATGATCCTGAGACAAAGGAACAGCCTAAGGAATGGAGGCGCAGTGGTTCCCCCAGGCCAAAGAAGTTCCAAGTGCAAAGGTCAGTGCAGAAGCAAATGGCAACAGTTTTTTGGGATAAGAAGGGAGTTCTGCTGGTGGACTACCTCCAACAGGGTTCAACCATCAATGCAAAATATTACTGTGCTTCATTGACAAAGTTGACGCAAAATATCAAGGAAAAACATAGAGGAAAGCTCTCCAAAGGTGTCATCCTATTGCATGACAATGCCTCGTCACACACTGCAGGTGAAACAATGGCAAACTGACGTCCTTAGGCTTTCAAGTGATGCACCATCCACCGTATTCTCCCAGCCTGGCTCCTTCTGACTATTATCTGTTCCCCAGAGTCAAAAAACGCCTAAGGGGACAACGATTTGGGAGTGTTCTAGAGACAACTAATGCTGCAAATGAGTGGTTACACCAGAAGTGGGAAGATTTTTATTTGCAGGGACTTAAGAAGCTGCAGGACAGATGTCACAAGTGCATTGACTTTCTGGGGGAATATGTAGAATAGTGTGGCAGTTACAGCTTCCTAGCTCAATTTTTTTCCTGGGAAAGGCTCAATACTTATCAGCACCCCCTCGTATTTCTAACAACAAGGTACATATGATGGAAACTGACTATGAATGAATAAGTTTATTGAGGTATAAAACCGTAGGAATACAACTAGCATAGTTACAGGATAATACCCTGATAACATAAGTGAATATCTACAGAGAATTCAAAATTCAAAGTTTAAAATTTAATTTAGAATTTGAACCTTCTAATTAACTATAATCATAGCCGATTTACAGTCCTATTTATGCCTTGTTTCAGAGTGGAATTGTACCTCATAAGGAGTTGAACTTCCACCCTCTGGCTCTTAAGCTCAAACTCACTGAGCTATCCAGCCAGCTCCCTCTTGGAGTTGTATCAATGATCATTTGAAATCAGTGGGACTTGCTAAGTAACATTTTTGGAACCAAACTGTAATAATATTAACATTTTTGAAAACAAATATTTGCAGTTTTACGATATTCTTTTATGCCCTAATCGTACATAATCAGTATGCTATATTTAATTGCATCTCATCTGACAATTTTAAGCACAGCTCTGGAGTAATTTAAAATTCAGAAGAATTCCAATTGATTAACAAGAAAAACCGTGATCGTAATTTAGAAATGTTTTTAAATGAATTTGATTTAAAAAAACATTGATTTTTATCCATCCTGTTTTAAATAGATAATTTGGGAATGGGGTCTAGCGGTGCCTAGTGTGGAAGATAAAAAGGAAAATTATGTTGCAAGTTGAGTTTTTGCATCTTCTAAATTTAATTTATAAAAAATATGCACATCATTTTCAGCCCTTAAGTTTATGAAACAAATTTCATTTATAGTAGTTTTCCTTTTATTTTTCTTTCACAGTTTACAAAATAAAACAAGTACCACAGAACTGGGGCCGAAAATGGCATTTGTTAAGAAAGATAATATTGTTCAACATGATGTGAAAAAAATTGACGATGTTCTTGAGCAGTGCTGCTCAAAATTATCTGTGGAAATGAGCACCAAACATGTGGCCTTGTCTCAGACTGATACCCTTCATGGGGATATGTGTAAAGATCAGTTTTCAGAAGCAGAGTCAGTAAAAGGAACTCAGACTGGAGACCAGTTTAAAAATGAGAATGTTACTCAGGTGCACAAAATTGGGAGTCAGGCTTATCAGGGTTGCAATGAATATCAAGAAAAATGTTCTCATAAGAAGCTTTCATCAGCCAGCCCTGTGAAAATATCAGATGTAAAACATCCTTTGAAGGACTTCAGCATAGAAAAGCAAGTGTCTGTGCGAAATCCACAACCATTTAAGAACCACAAATCTGAGCATGCATCCTGTGTAAATGCTGTGCCGGACGAGCTGGATATAGTGCCTGAGAGCCCACTTTCAGATGCAGGCTGCGATGCCTGTTCATTTGATTTGTATAGCTCCCAGAAGAGAGGTCAAGAAGGGTGTGTGGGAGAGTCTCCCTCTTTTGAGAAAGAGAGTGAGCCAGAATCACCAATGGATGTAGATACTTCTAAAAATAGCTGTCAGGGCTCAGAGGCTGATGAAGAAACCAGTCCACTTCTTGAGGACCAAGAGGATATTGATATGTCTAAAACACCAAGTAAATCTTCACGATTTCGAAGGGCAGATACTCAGTTGGAATCAAGAAAGTTGCCATCAGCTTCTCAGAGAGGTGAAGCTGCTCAATTTAGCTTCCACTTGGAACGGGTGGATAATCCCCTGATAGGGGATGAAACACACAATGAGCCATCTTGGATCTCACCTGTTGCGTCTTCGGAATGCAGAGGCACCAAACATTGTGGGAAGAAGGATTCTAAAATTACTGCCCACTTCATGAGGGTTCCCAGGACAGAGGAGAAAAGGTAATCTTGCACTTTTTGTTAATTCTTTTCTTACTATTATATTCAAAAGGTATTGTAATTAGTATTTTGATTCTGCCTGTGGTGCAAGTAAGCAAGCCTAAATGTTGTGACAGCAAACATTTTATGTAAAGAAGTATCATTCCGCATGATCTTCCGCTTTCAAGTAAGCTGTATGGCCTGGTGTGTAGTGGAACTTCTGCCAGAAGAGGGACAGAGACAATTCAGCCCTCCTGATTTTCCTGGAACTTTCAAAAGGCTTTTAGTGTTATCAGCTGCTTTATCTTCCTGGGTTGGAGTTCCCATTTTATATTTCTTCATGTATAATGATTTCTGGAAGGGCAGTGTTGAGAGACGTCTGCTCAATCCTAATATTGTGTTAATGAAGCTTGCAGAATTCCATCTTGTCCCACATGTTGTTCAGCATATATGGTGGGATAGGCAGTTGAGGAGCATTTGTTGGCCACAGCTGTCCTCTTATCTACGACTGGTTTATTGTTAGTTTTATTTTATTTCTTGGCTTCCTTTCTCTCCCAGTGATGGAAAAAGATATTTCCATCTCCTAAGTTTGACTTAAAGTTATTTTTTGCCCCAAGAGGTGTGAATATGTGCGAAAGAATAAGCATAAAATGGAGAATAGCAGCTGTTGTACACTTGTGGCGATTCTTCATTTTTAGGCTGAAACCCTTTTAGTAGTGGTGACCTGGAGGTTGGACTGGGGCTGCATATTGTCTATAGGACATACAATTCTGATCCTACATGGAACTGTTCAAGCAGATTATCTAGAGATCTGCAATGAAATTGCTATCAATATACTGACGGTACCATCAGTATATTGTGCACATGCATGCACACAGATCTATCTGTCTGTGTAAACACACACACACACACACACACACCTTAATTCAGATAGGTCATTGGAAGTGCTGTATCAGTGTTTGTGATCAGCTGTGAATAGACTGAGCAGCAATAAGTTGAAACAAAAATCTGCAAGTTGCATGTGTTGTGAGGATTTATCTTACCAAAGAAGTAGTGTTCAGCCTATTCTCAATGGGATTGTGCATCAGATTTTCACATCAGCTTTGGAGTTTGAGGGTGCTTATTGAACCAGTTTTTCATTGGAGACCCAAGTAGTTTCCCTGGCATGTAGTGCCTTCTCTCAGTTAAGGCTGATGCCAACTGTGACCCCAGCCAGCCAGAAATAGCTTTCCTCTAGTAACATGAACAGCACCTTGAAGAACTGAGAACCTCCACATGTATGTTGGACTCTTTTCTTTCCTGGCATATAAAAGCAGCCAGGTGGGACTGGTCAGATGGGTAGGAAGAATGCCAAATATCTCCTTGCAACAGGGCAGGATCCTAGCATGTTTAAAGGAGCCTGCCTTGGTTTTAATATAATTGGAGTGGCCTTTCTCTTGATCTCACCATCACCATAGGTGTGTTTGGTGAGGACACAAGAAGGGCTCTTCTCTGTTACTATTCCTTCCTACAGAAGGCCAAGTGGGCCCCCTCTTTGCTGTCCTATAAGCAAGCAAACTCTTCATGCAGACGTCCTCTCGGTAAATGGCTGCTTGAGAGACAGATCTTAAAAATGGGTCTGCTGCTTTAAAAAAAACTGTATTGTTTGGTTTAATACTGTAAGCTGCCTTGTATCCTCTTGAGAAGAAAAGAGGATATTAATATTTTGGATAAATAAATAAATAGCATGCAAGTTAAGCTGCCATGAAGCATTTCACATGGAATGCTTTCATAATCAGAAAATGTAGAGACTTTGTGAGGTGCTACTTGGGGCCAATTTCAAGTCTCATGTTCCCCAGTTTTTAAAATCTGCTGGCTTGTGATCCATTTTATAGCACAAATCATACGGTTGTTGCTTCGCTTTAATGAACTATTCTTTTAATAAAGAAATATCCTTTGCTTCCTGCTGTAACATACATTATAACTGAGAATGCTCACGAATGTATTAGAAATGAACCATTTTAGAACAACAAACATGTAAGAACTCTATTCTGTTACCCACTGCTTCACAGTAAGTTCTTTCCAATAACAACTGAAGGTTTGAATTTGTCTTTTCCAGAGTAGAACACTTTGTAGTTGTCTGACTGAAAATACCCTATTTCAGACAACTTTAGTTCACTAACGTCAAGCACTGCAGTGTTGATACATTCCATTTCATGCTTTGCAGTTTCCAATTTACCTTGAGTCAAATTTCTTACATTCCATGTTCCAGTTGTTTGTGATGTGCAGCATCTGAAATCCCTTTCACTTCTGTGCACATCAGCCAGTAGACTTCATTTCAGCTTTAATCTAATTGCATCATTAGTGGCAGTGTTATTCGTACTTGTCCCTTGCTCTTCCCCAGTAGCTGATTGAGTGCTTACTTATCTGGAAGTCTCCTCTTCCAGCACTATCTCTTGTTTCTCTTCAGACTATCTCATCATAGGGGGTTCATGGTAAGGAAAGTTCAGCAGAGGTTTACCATTGCCACCTTCTGTGCTGTACTAACAAAAGCTAACTTGAATGTCACCACCATTGCCTCCTCTGCCAGTGTCACCTTCAGCTACTGCTGCTGCCCAGTAGCTGTGTTAAAGAGGGTGGATACATCTTACTCTGTACTGATACTCCTTTATCCTCAGCGGGGACTCCTCCACCTTCTCTTCTTCTGGAGCTGCCCGGCTCCTTCATGGGGCTTGGTTCACAGTTTCAGCTGAGCAAGGAGGGCTCCTCCCAGGCCATCTTGCTGCTTGCTGCCTTCTGCTCACTACATCTCTGACTCTGGTTGCTGCTGCTCAAGCCAGCTGACCGAGGGTGGGTGGGGGGACTTTTCTCACTTTTCCAGAAAGTATGGGGATTTTCATAAGGGTGGCAGGCACTCCTGAAGTGCTTCTGAAATAATATGTTCAGTCTCCCTGTCTTGTTGTGCTCCATAACATTTGGTGGAAATGAATTGGTTTGTGATAGATAACTGAACAAACCACTTTTCTTCGTATTATGTTAATAGAATACTGTTTTTTTGAATGTTATCAAAAAGGAACCTAGAAAAAAAGACACCTCTTCATAATTGAAAAGCTTTAGTCAATCAGAAAAAAGTGCTTAAAATATTAATTCTGTTTTTATTTTTATCTGTAGGAGCGAACCATGTGAATTAAAGACAAATCGGCCAAGAAGAAGGATTCCTAAATATACTCCTCCTCCACTTCCAACTAATAAAAAGTGGTTTGGAACACCTATTGAAGAGATGAGAAGAATGCCAATGTGTGGGACTCGACTTCCTCACTTGAGATCTTCTGCCAATCATACAGTGACAATCAGAGTATGAAAGTTGACTGACCAACAAAACTTTCGCTTGTAAATTGACACTGGACAGATATTATTATTTCCCTCTTGATTTAAATTTTGGAGGTTCATTTGGGTGTGAAGATCTTTTAGTTGGCCCTAGAATTTAAAAGAGTAACAATTGAGTAACATATTGCACGCAGATTTAAATGGAGCCCTAAAGTTGTTTCTATTACCCACCCAACCCATTTCCACATGTGTTATTCAAGCACTTGTTTTTATTCTCTCTTTTGTCTACCTTTTGTCTCCTCCAAAATCTCTGCCCCTTATAATTTTATCCACACTCAGAGTTTCATATGTGTGTGTTCTTCTGTTTTTAAAATCTAATTGTAGGGATGGGGAGAGTCACTGGGAGGATAGTTGGAGCAGTAAAATGACATATGAGGAAATGGTTGAGATTCCCCTCTTCTCTGATATGAGTTGAACCCCTCATGTCTCATGTTATTGACTCACTTCCCAGTGGCTTAGTCTGATCTTGTACAAGTGTTCTTACAAGTGTTCAGAATTCAGTTGGGATTTTACTCTGAAGTAAACAAAATCATGTAAACTGTACTGCTAAATTATAGCTAATTAGCAAAGTGCCAGTTGCCTGCCTGGTCATATGATTGATACACAACCAAACATGCAGCTAACACCTTGTTAATTAGGTATAACTTGCCTCTGCAGCTTACACAATTTCACTTACCCCAGAATAAAATCTCAATAGGATTCTGAACACTTAGTTCCTCTGAGTCCAGTCAGATGAATTTTTAGGTATAGCTGCAGTGCAGCATTAGCTGAGATGAACCTATTTAGCATTGTATTGTACAATGCTTGTTTCAGTGTGACATAAATCCCCACAGACTATTGACTGGAGTGTTATCATTCTATGCTTTTTGTATATATTTGGAGAGATTTTAAAACTATTGCATTTCAAGATATAGTTCTTAAATAATCTCCATCTCTTTGTATAAAGTTTTGTAATAATTGCTTACCTATTATCTTTGTTGCAGGTAGATCTTTTGAAAGAAGGAGAGGCGCCTAAACCTTTCCCAACCCATTATAAAGATACATGGGACAATAAGCATGTTAAAATGCCTTGTTCAGAACAAAATTTATACCCTGTTGAAGATGAGGTAAGGCAAATAATTAAGTACTTGAAGTATACTATTTTGTCTCACTCAGACTAACCTTGTATTAGATTCACCAAGATGGTTCAGTGTGCACTTAATTTGCATTTGTAATTGTTTTTAGTTAATTATTGCAATAGGTGTATTACATTGGCTTCTGAAACCAATTTAGTGAATGAATCTAGAGAAATGCTTATTTTTCTGCCTGTCCTCTAAATCAAACACAGAGTTAAGCCTGCTACATCTACTGGAAGCTTTAAAAAGCCTTCTGCTTTTGTTGTGTCAGTCAAAGGTTTCATACTACCATATCTTAGCAGGGCAACAAATGAACACACATTGAGACATGTAATTAAATTTTAATTTGAGAATGATAGACATGCTAGAACAGTTATTTGAGGTGGGATTATTAGTTGGCATAACTTGAACTTATTTTTGTAGTTTTGTTTCAATGTATAATTGTACTTATGTTCAGGGCACTTTATTGTGCTATATGGTTTAAGAAGAATTTTCGGAGCTGCACAGTTAGGTTAGGAACTGTTCTGTGAATGATTCTGAAAGTGCATAAAGATTGCTTTCTGGGTTGAATTAAAGCCTGTGTACTTAGGCTAATATTCTTTTTATGCTAGTAATCAGCTAGTTGTCTTTGAGAAGCTCATAGCAGGATATGAAAATTTGACTTTTCCATTTTTGTCTCTGGCTTCTAATATTTACATAAGTGATAGTTGTTTATGAACCTATACTCCAGCTAATCTTTTTCTAGTTATGCTCGCAAATCTTTGTAGTTGGTGGTGATCATCACATTTTTATTGAGCACCAGATTTCTGTTATATATCACGTGAAAAAGTATTTCGTTTGTTATTTCTGATTCTACTACACCCTAGCTTCTCTAGGTGTTATTTGTATTCATGCTTCATAATGCCGATTTCAGGTAGTATGAACTAAATAAACTAAAGAGTGAAGTTGTTCAATCACGCTTATGGTCCATATGGTAAAACATTAGCATGGTTTATTTTCCTATAGTCTGCTAACATCTTCGGTGAAATGTTAGCATGGCTTATTTTCCTATAGTCCAAAATAGTGTCTATAAAGAAATAGTAACTTTAGTAAACCAGTAAATACTGAGCTGTCTATTTGGTGTCCACTTCACATAAAAAGTCACCCTATCCTATTTTGTACACCTTTCAGAATAACTAACAAAGAAGTAGCTGTCTTAGTCTGTGTCACCAGAAACAGAACAGGAGACCTGTGGAACATTAAATTGAATACATTTATTGTACCATAAATTTTATGGCCTGCAGCACTGCTGGGAGAAATTATCCAGAGGCCTGTGTTGAGTTACACACTTCCTGTATCTTATTTTCTCACTCACAGATCCCAAGGAGTTTGTGGAATGTTTTGACAGGTGCCTGGGAGGAGTATTGAAATATATCAAGAGGAGCAAATTGAAATTTAGTTTAGGTGGTCTGCTAGTCTACATCGAATTCTTAATTTTGTCCTGGATGTGGTGGCACTCCCTCTGAAAGATCAGATATGCAGCCTAAGGATGCTATTGAGCTTGTCCTGCTTTGGGGAACCACTGGTAACAGCAGTGGCTAGCACTGTTGTTTGTTTCTCTGTATTAGTTATAGGCCACCTTTCTCTCAATAAGGGGACCGAAGGCAGCTCATTATATTAAAAAGATAGAATTAAAAACATAGTAAGTTAAACAATTAAACGATATGCTAATTAAAATAAAATTGAATAATTAAAAGCAAATAAACATTAAAAACTATCTTAACTCTAAGAAGACATTCAGGAATTCAATCATAATTTTTAAAATCCTGCCTGAAAAGATGGGTCTTGAGCTGTCAGCAGAAGGATAAAAAGGGAAGGGGGCCAGCCTAATCTTCTAAGGCAGAGCATTCCATAAAATGGGAACTGCCAGAAAGAAGGCCCTCTCTCATCTCTCCATCGGCCATGCCTGCTCTGGCATTGAGACTGAGAGGAGGGCCTCTTTGGACTATCTTAAAAGCAAAGAAGGCTCATATGGGGAGATATGGTCCTTCAGGTAGCCTGGATCAAAGCTGCATAGGGCTTTATACGTAATGACCAGCACTTGGAACTGGACCTAGAAACAGATTGGTAGCCAATGCAGTTGATGTAACAGGACATTATATGCTCCCTATAACTGGCCCCAGTTAGTAGTCTGGCCTGCTGCATTTTGCATGAGCTGAAGTTTCTGAACTGTCTTCAAAATTAGCTCCACGTAGAGTGTGTTATAATAATCCAAGCAGGATTTAACTAAGACATATGTCATTATAGCGAAATTATAAATCTCAAGGAATGGGTGCAGCTGGTGCACCAGTTTTAACTGTGCAAAAGCATTCTTGGTCATTGCTGAAGCCTGAGCATCCCGATTCAAAGATGAATCCAGGAGTACACCTAGGCTGCACACCTGAGTTTTCAGGGGGAGTGTAGCACCATCCAGAAGGTTGTATCTCTATTTCTTGATCTGCTTTCTTATTGACCAGGAGCACCTCTTTCTTGTCTGGATTAAGTTTGTTTGCCCTCAACCAGCCTTTACTGATGCCGGGCACTGGTTTAGAACCAAGAAAGCTTCCTTGGATTTAGATGGGAAGGAGAGATAGAGTTGGATGTCATCTGTGTACTGGTGACACCAAAACCCAGAGCTCTGGAAAACCTCTCCCAGTGGTTTCATGTAGATGTTAAAAAGCATAAAGGACAAAGCAGAACCCTGAGAGACACCACAAACCTACTAGTTTAGTAGAGTTGGGTCTCTCTGGAGAGCACCTGACCTTAGTTGTTCACACACTAATTGTCTACTGATTGGATTAATATAATGCATTATACATGGAGTTGCATCTAAAAATGGTTCAGAAACTTAAATTGATGGAAAATTAGCTTTCTCTGGTGCACATGTACATCAGAAAGTCTGAATACAAACTCCTAGCTTTCTGCTATTTGTGCTGGTATAAGTATACAGTATATCACAGAGGTGAGTACACCCCTCACATTTCATAAATATATTAGTATATATTTTCATGTAACAACACGGAAGAAATGACACTTGGCTACAGTGTAAAGCAGTGAGTATACAGCTTGTATAACAGTGTAAATGTGCTGTCCCCTCAAAATAATGCAACACACAGCCATTAATGTCTAAACTGTTGGCAACAAAAGTGAGTACATCCCTAAATGACAATATCCACATTGGGCACAAAGTGTCAATATTTTGTGTGGCCACCATTATTTTCCAGCACTGTATTAACCTTCTTGAGCGTAGAGTTCACCGGAGCTTCACAGGTTGCCACTGGAGTCCTCTTCCACTCCTCCATGATGACATCACAGTGCTGGTGGATGTTAGAGACTTTGTGCACCTACACCTTTCATTTCAGGATGCACCACAGATGCTCAGCACAGTGTAGATCTGGAGACATGCTTGGCCAGTCCATCACCTTTACCCTCAGCTTCTTTGGCAAGGCAGTAGTTGTTTTGGAGGTGTGTTCGGGGTCATTATCATGTTGGAATACTGCCCTGTGGCCCAGTCTCCATAGGGGAAGGGATCATGCTCTGCTTCAGTATGTCACAGTACATGTTGGCATTCATGGTTCCCTCAATGAACTGTAGCTCCTCAGTGCTGGCAGCACTCACGCAGCCTGAGACCATGACACTTCCATCACCATGCTTGACTGTAGGCATGACACACTTGTCTTTGGACTCCTCACCAGGTTGCCGCCACACACACTTGATAACATCTGAACCAAATAAGTTTATCTTGGTCTCACTGGACCACAGGACATGGTTCCAGAAATCCATGTCCTTAGTCTGCTTGTCTGTAGCAAACCGTATGCGGGCTTTCTTGTGCTTCGTCTTTAGAACAGGCTTCCTTCTGAGATGACAGCCCTGGAGACCAATTTGATGCAGTAGGTGGCATATGGTCTGAGCACTGACAGGCTGACCCCACCACCACCACCACTTCAACCTCTGCAGCAATGCTGGCAGCACTCATACGTCTATTTCCCAAAGCCAACCTCTGGATATGACGTTGAGCACAGGCACTCAGCTTCTTTGATCGACCGTGGCGAGGCCCGTTCTGAGTGGAACCTGTCCTGTTAAACTGCTGTATGGAATTGGCCACCGTGCTGCAGCTCAGTTTCAGGGTTTTGGCAATCTTCTTATAGCCTAGGCCATCTTTATGTAGAGCAACAATTTTTTCAGATCCTTAGATAGTTCATTATCATGAGGTGTGATGTGGAGCTTCTAGTGACCAGTCTGGAGAGGGTGAGAGTGAGAACACCTGCTCCCCCTTCACACCTGAGACTTGTGACACTAACGGGTTTCATGACGCCAGGGAGGGAATATGGCTACTTGGGCCCAGTGTGGACATTGTCACTTAGGGGTGTACTCACTTTTGTTGCCAGTGGTTTAGACATTGATGACTGTGTTACATTATTTTGAGGGGATAGCACATTTATACTGCTATACAAGCTGTATACTCACTGCTTTACATTGTAGCCAAGTGTCATTTCTTCAGTGTCATCACATGAAAAGATATACTAAAATATTTAGGAAATGTGAGGGGGTGTACTCACTTCTGTGATACAATAGTACCTCAGTTTACGAAATTAATGCATTCTCCGGGACATTAACTAAAGCAAAAAATTCATAAACCGAAATGTGGATTGCCATAGAAATGGGGGCAATGCTACAAACCTCTAGGCACAATGCATCCTGTGGAAACTTTCTTTGTACTCCAAAAAAACCCAGAAAAAACACGTAAACTGAGGCATTATTTTCAACGGATTTCTGTTCGTAAACTGAAAATTACATTAACCAAGGTGTTCATAAACCAAGTTACCACTGTATACTGTGTATCCAGCTGCAATTCGGAGTACAGTGATGCCTCACAAGACTTTAATTCGTTCCATGGTTAATGTTGTCTTGCGAAAAATTCATCTTGCGAAACGCATTTTCCCATAGGAATGCATTGAAATCTAATTAATGCGTTCCTGTGGGCAAAAAAAGTCAGAACAAAGTCAAATTTAGTTTACAAAGTGTTTATTAAGTGCTCTTTAAAGCCATATGTATTGTGCAGATGATTTCAAAATTTTCAGTCAAAAAACTTTAACTTTTTAAACATTATAGGAAAGCATTCAAAAACATGAGGCAGGAACATCTGCCTTCAGTGAAACTGAACAGAAACAGTCACTAACAGTCCTTGGATTGTGCAAAACTCTTCAGAAAGTGCATTTTCAAGGCATGTAAACATACAGAAACCAACAGTACAGAAACTTTAGATTTCACATTTTAAAGTGAACAAGTGAGGCTGAAGTCTTCTAACAGAAAACATTCGTCTTGCAAAGCACGGCTATAGGTATATTCGTCTTGCTAGTCATCAACCCCATCACCAAAACCATTCGTCTTGCGAGTTTTTCATCCCCGAGGCATTCGTCTTGCGAGGCACCACTGTATTGGTTTTTAGTGTAAATGTCTTAAATTACAGATGGGAAAATTGTGGTTCTCTGTCTATTAAGTATTCTGCCTTGGCTGGTGGAAGTTACAGTCCTGCTTTATCTGATGCACCACAGATTCCTCATCTCTGTCCTCAGTTATTTAGGACTGAATTACATGGAGGATCATATTATCATTGCTTCTGATTTGTCCCAATGATCTAAGATGTCCATTGAATGCCCTATTTGTGTGCCTGTAGGTAAACTTGGTTAGACAGGTAGGCACAAGAGCAAGGACTACCTTGGGGATGGTACCAGTGTTGTAGAACTTCCTCCTAGTTAAGATCTGCTTGCTTCCTTCAGAACAGGCCTTTAAGAGGACCTGAACTCGTACAATTTTATTACAGCATTTCCTCAGAAGAATTGATGGCAGTATGATCTGAAGCAGTTTTCTTACACATTGATTTCCTCTCTCTGATCTGCTTAATAGCCAAAATCCTGTTGCTTAGCATGGCATAATAAATCACACTAGAGTAGGCCTACTGAATCCATAGAATTTCATAAGTTCCATTGATTCAAATGGGCCTACTGTGGCTCACTTTAGCATTGTAAGTTGCCTTTAGAGCAGGCCCATTTGAATCACTGAAACTTACTAAAGAGTTCCATTGAATCAAGTGCCTGTTGATTTAATGGATCTATTCTAGTGTGATGATGATAATCATAATAATTAAATTTTTATACCACCCATCTAACCGAATGGTTACTCTGGAGGTTAACATCAATTATAAGAGCATTAAAAAAACATAATCTGTGACAACATAAAATAAAAATTTAATTAAATAATAAAACAATTAAGACATTTATAATATGATGATGATGACAATAATGTTGATGATGATGGTAATAATGATGATGATGTATTATTATTGCAGTGTTAACAGGATTTTGGGTAGTGTCTCATTGATAATTTTATATACAGTATATCCTCTTGTGAAGGCCTATCCTTTAAAAAAAAACTGCTTATAGAGTATGGATTAAATAAGTAAACCTAACATTGAATTTCTTGGGAAGTGAGTCTGTGTTCTCTGATTAGGTGTAGTACACTAGAAAGAACTGTACTTAATTTCTGGGTTAGGAATCATGCAAGAATGTTTTAATTCTGAGTGGGGGAAAATAAAGTAAGTAGTGTACAGTGGTGCCTCGCTTAACGGGCGCCCTGTTTAACGACGAAATCGCATAGGGATTAACTTTTTGCGATCGCTTTGCGATGGTCTGAATGGGCTTTTTTTGCTTTGCGATGATCAGTTCCCTGTTTCGCTTACCGATCATTGCAAAGTGATGATTTTCCCCCAGCTGATTGGCGGTTCCAAAATGGCTACTGGGTAAAAAAATGGCTGCCCGCTGTGTTTAGGGACGGATTCCTCGCTTACCGGGCAGCGAAAATGGCCGCCGTATGGAGGATTTTCACCTAAAGATAAGTTTTTAGCCCATAGGAATGCATTGAAGGGGTTTCAATGTATTCCTATGGGCTTTTTAAAATCGCATGGCAATGAAATCGCTTAGCAGCGATTTTTGCTGCACCAATTATCATCGCTATGCGAGGCACCACTGTATACCAGAGTGGTGTAGTAGATAAAGTGACAGACATGGATTCAGTATGCCTGGGTTTGAATTTGCTCAGCCATGGAAGCTCACTGGGGGAGTGAAACTGATAAAACCACTCCATGAATAGCTTACTTACCTTGAAAACTCTGTTGGAGGCATTATTAGTTGGTTTTGACTTGATGGCACATAACATAGCACGTATAATTTATATTTTCATTTTTAATTGCTGTATTATTGGTAGTGAGGCTGAAAATAGTTTGATTATCTGAATTCATTTTGTCATAAGTATAGATATTTGTTTATATTTAAAGAATGGTGAAAGGACTGCTGGCAGCCGGTGGGAATTAATTCAGACTTCACTGCTTAAGAAATTCACCAGCTCCCGTGATTTGAAGGTAAGGCAATAAAGCTGAAGACTGTAGTCTTCTATCATTAACATTTCTTTCCATATATAGCTTTTGCAGAGGTGTGTGACAGAGTGATGCACTGAATGTCATTATTAATTTATACAAGGTGTTACTAAAATGCATGAGACATTACCTGCTGGGGGCTTGGGTTTTTCATATTTCTGTCCATCCATAATAAGAGTGCTTGAAAGCTATGAGTGGCCTTCCACATCATTATGCTACATATAGCTAGTTGCGGTGGCTACCATAATGGCTGAAGTTTCCATACTGAGGCATGGCCAACATCCTTTTTCTGTTACCCAAGTTCACATGGGCTTTAGAGATAGTTAACTTCCTCAGGACTCTAAAAGCCACATAGTCAACCACCTCTGCACAATGTCTCCTAGTTTTCCAGGAAGCCAATTAACTAACCACAGGCTAATTTATTGCTTCCAACCACTTTGTGAGAGCCACTGTGATGTAGTAGACAGAGTGCTGGATTAGGACTCAGGAGACTTGAATTCAAATCATGAAAACTTACTATGGGGATAATGATAACCTACTCCTTGAACATCTCACACACCTTGAAAATTCTCTTAGGGTCATCATAATTTGGAGGCAATGTGATGGTAAATTACAGCAAAGGCACTTTGTATTATGTCCACATATTGCTATCCTCTAATGCTTCATGTCATAAAAAGGGGTTGTGAATCTGTGCATGTATGTGAGTTGAGGAGATTGATTTTTAGAAAATGATTAATTTAAGTTATTTTCCCATGCAAATTCTTGATGTGCACGAGAGCAAAGAAATAAAAACATAGTTGTGGGAAATGGGCACAATCAAGAACAAGTTCTGAACTGTGATGGAAATTAGATTTGCAGCCAACACACTGATCATCTGCAGCACAACTGCTGTTCATAACAAGGGCCTTAAAAGAATCAGCCAATATTGTCAATTTTATATTTTTTAAAAAAACTGAATTCAAGACTTTCTGAACAGCTTTGCAAAGATATAGGCAGAGGACACTACCAGCTTTTGCCACACTGTGAAGTTTGTTGGCTATCACTAGGTAAAGTTTTGTCTCATTTTTGGAAATTCAGAGACAAGATAAGATTATTCCTCATGGAGAAGCAATTTCACCTTAGCGATTCTTTGACAGATTTTTCCTGGTTAGTCAAATTAGCATATCTCTCAGATATCTTCACCCAATTAAATATGCTCAACTTAAATCTTCAAGGAGAAAAGGTTACACTTTTTCAAACTGAAGAGAAGGTCAAAGCAATGATTTAAAAAAGTCGGCATTGTGGCATCATCACCAATTAAACCAAGACATTTCCAAATTTCGCAAATTTTCTTGGTTCCACAGATGAAGGAGGACACAACAGTTACCACAGAACATTGGGAAGATTTGCAGCATACGCCAGGTTCTGGGAGTGTTTGGAAGCTTGATAAGCCTCCAAACACTCTCAGAAGCTGGCGATTCTACCCCCCCTGGCTCCGTAGGGGGGTGGGGGGAGCGTGGCAAGTTTCTGAGGGAGCCTCCCAGGACCCTTGCCACGCTCCTCCCCCTGCACAGGGCCATCACTGGCAAAATCGCCAGTTTCTGGGAGTCTTTTGAGGCTTGGGAAGCCTCTGAAGAGTGCCAGAAGGTGGCGATTTTGCCCCCTCTGACCCCCGAGGGGGGCAGGGGGATTTTCTAAAGCATCCTGAAACACACCCTAGGACCCTTTGGAGGCTCACCCCTTTGAAGGCTCACGCTGCCCCCCCCCACTGGGCCAGAGGGGGGGAAATCACCAGCTTCTGGGACTCTTCTGAAGCTTCCCAAGCCTCAAGTCCCAGAAGCTGGCGATTTCGCCCCCTCTGACCCCCGGGGGGAGCAGGGCGAGCCTCCAAAGGGTCCTAGGATGTGTTCCATAAGATGGACCTCTCCATAAGGCTCACCAATTTTTAGGAGAAAAAAACAAATTATTTTTTTCCTGTTTTCTTCTAAAAATTTGGTGCGTCTTGTGGAAAGGTGCGTTTTACGGAGCGAAAAATACGGTATATTAGTAATTTGCAAAAATCCTTATGCTTTGAGGAATGTGGTACAAGACTCGTTTGCAAGAGTGAGATATCAGGTTTTGGGGTGGAATATACAGACTTAACATCTCCGTGATTTATGAACTCAACTTACTGGAGGGCCTTGGGAAAGTTATGCAGCCTCAGCCTAAATTTAGAGGACTGTTTTAAAATACTTTTCAAATGCATGTGCCCGTGAGCAGTAAACTGTCTTGAACCAATAGATTTCAGATCAAGGGCTAGAATAGCAATCTCTCTTAGTAACACATTGCCAAGTTTCTAAGAGTAAAAAATTGGGAGACTATCTAACAGGTGGTGTCACGTAATTGATATTGTGTTAATATCCAGATCAGGAGACTTCTGTGTCATAGGTCATGCCTATGCTTGAACTATTTGTAGTTCCAGACTCCAGGCAATATTCACAGTAGCACAGGAAAGTGTGCCGGATTCGTAATTCTCCATGTTGGAAGTCATTGCAGAAAGGGAGAATAAAAGTAAATAAAACAGAAGTCAGTATATAGTTTTATCATTCTATTAATGCAGGTGTGATAGCACTAATAGAATCCTAATTATAAACTATGTGTAAGTAGAGACTGTCACCATTTTTTATATTTGTTTAGCCTCAGAATCTTTTTGGTTTTCTGTGTGCATGTAAGCAAAAAAGTAGAAATTGTGGTGGCTCATTGAAGCTGATTAATAGGGTGTTAGTTGTTACAACAAGCAAGAGACTGATGATTGGATTAGCATCTGACAAGAATGCATTAAATATGTGAAATTTTGCCCTGGGTAGGAAATATTCAACTGAATGGGTCTCTTCCAACTCCTGTGTGTATTGAAAACTGAACCCCTCTTTTCCTGTGAAGAAACAATTTTCAAAAGCATTGTTGTAAAATTATCTTGTACCAGCAGAGGATGCTGTTTATTTAGAAACCAGGTTTTCTCACTGCTCAGATTTTTTCTTTTTCTTTTATAGGAGGCTATTCTCAGATATAATGTTGCATATGCCAAGAAATGGGACTTTGCAGCTCTTACTGACTTCTGTGATAAGGTAACAAAAGCTTACTTGTTTAACCACCTGCATCTTGCCATTATATAATATGTCTTTTTCATTACTTTGCCTTTAAACATACTTTTAGCTATGAGGTTAGCTGAATATGCATAGTGTTGGATTGAGAGTACAGTAGTAGTAAATATAGCTAGAAGAACCAAAACAGTGTGGGTCATTTCCAATATAATGATAAGCTTACCAAGAAGAAGCTAGAATGCTAATGTGCCTCTGAATCATTCAAGTTTGCCTCTTCCTTTCACTGGAGCGGCTAACCCTATAGGAGCTTCCTGGTTTGTGGTTTGTTCCATTTTGCATTGGTTTAGTATTATATTGGATCTGGGATGCCTGAGTTCCTTTCCAGGGTGGATTTGATTTAAATCACCACTCAGAAACACTTGATATAATCATGTGATCCCACCCCCCACCCCCTGGTGCACTCTTGGGTGTTGTAAACGTAACACATTTTTTACGGTACATATATTTCACAGTCTCTATGCTCAGAATGAATCTGCTTTCAATAATCCACTATTTGTTGACAGTTTTCATTAAATGGTTGCTCTGAAGGTATCTGAAGGTTACTGCACTGAGGAAACAGGAATTAATTTAAGAAACTGAATGTTGAAACAGTGGAAGAGAGATGCAGACATGCTTCTTTACAACATGGTTTGCCCGTTTCTATACTTAATGTTTTAAACATTGATATAATGTCCAGGTTCATTGTACATCTCATTCATTTTGTGAGATTTGTCATTGACATGGGTAGTTGACTATATAGGGAAAAACAATAAACTGATAAAAGATCTTCCAGTGAGCTTCTGATTCTATATCTGTACTAAGAAAAAGATATAATTATGCTTTTGCTCCCTTCTCTGATGGTGCTTACATTCTTTAAAATGTACAATTTTGATATATATGAAATTAATATGGAGCACCTACAGAAAATAAGTTACAAGCTGTACAAAACAAACTTTCAGGAGCACAAAATCTTCAGGATTAGATGGAAAAGGTGAGCCAGAGAGATCATATAATGTTTGTAACATTTAAGGAGGAGTATGGTAATGGGGAAGTAAATGGAAAAGTAGATTGTAAAGAGGACTTCTGATTTATTGGAATAATACATTATTTGCTGTTCTTCAAAATTTGGTGAATAAAGTCCATTACATAGAATTGAGCATTGAACAGATGGTCTCCACCATAAGCACTGCCAGAAAAGTACCAGAATATTTGTTTATGCTGGCTGGATAACTCAGTGGTTTAAGTTTCTGGCTGTGGAATCACAGGTTGGAAGTTCAATTTCTTACTGTGCATTCTGGGAGAAGAACCAGTCTGTGTGGCCTTGGGCAAGCTGCACAGCCCCCACTTGCCCCACCAGTAGATGGGAGTGGTAAACCACTTCTGAGTGTTCTCTACCGGGGAAAGGTTGCCATAAGTCAGAATTGACTTCATGACACCCTATTATTATATTTATATGACATTATTTGAATGTTTAAAAATAAAGGACAACAATTGTGGAGTGACCTATTTATTCATCTTTGTGGGCATGCAAATACGTATGATCTTCCCCCAGTACCTACTGTACTTTTGTCTAAAATTTTTAGACTAAAAATTGAGGTTTGTCTTATACATGGAAGTAAGCTGAGGAGAGTACTAAAACAAGTGGAGGGGAAAGCAGGGATCAAATTGTTCCTGCAGGCCTTTGATCCCTGCTTTCCCCTCCACTTGCTAATCCTTAGCAAAAGGAAAACAGGGATCAAAGCGCTGCAGCATCGCTTTGATCCCTGCTTTCCCCTCTGCTTGCTAAGTCCCATGGGGCTTAAGAAAAGGAAGGGGGAAGAATCAAAGCAAATCCGTGGCTGTTTAAGGGGGGAAGGGATCAAAACGATTGTGCAGTCGCGGGATTGCTTTGATCGCTTTCCCTCTCCTTTTGCTAAGCCCCGCGGGCTTAGCAGCTGTTTGATCCCTTTCCCCCTACACTTGCTAAGCCCCACTTAGATTTCTTAATTTTGGGTTAGAAAAGTGGGGAGGCGTCTTATACATGGGGGTGTCTTATACACAGAAAAATACAGTAGATTTCTAGTATGTTGCAGAATAAAAGTCATTAGTAGTAATGAGCATCTCTGGAAAACCTTTTCTTTAATTAGGTTTTCATTCCTACAGATAATCTAGTAGTCGATAAATGAAAGATGAGTTGATGAAATTATGCCTTTTCCTTTCCAATCCACATTGCATCTCATTAAGCAAATACTGTTTTATTTTTTAAAAGTAGTTCTCATTGCATTGGGTGATTACGTGTTGTTCCTCTGAGAGCTGTGATAATTAATTTTGTCTGCATTCTCTCTCCATACCTTCCGATGGTGTACACAGTCTTACCTTGATTATCTTAGGTCATGGATGAGAAATGGAAGAACCCTTGACCTGCAGCCTATTAGAATCCCAGTTCTTTTTAAATTCTGGTCTTAAAATGTCATTCCTGTAGCAACCATTAGCGAGATATGCAAGGATTTGTTGTATTTGTTGTCAATTTGTTTCATACCCCCGGGAGAAGTCAAGAATAGCCTCCCCAAGGTGCAGAGTTAATTTTGGGGGAGCAGGAAAAAGAAGATTAAGGTTATATACAGTTCTACACTGTGGCTTTGTCCCACCACCTAGGTGCCAAGTTCATAATTTTGTTCCTGCCTCCCAAAAAGATACATTTGTTAGATCACCAAAATGCTTGATTTGTTTGGTTTTCTTGGTGTTGCTTGAGATTAAATAATGCAAAAGCTTTGAAGTATTCTTTTAATTACCAAAGCAGCTGTTTGAAAGCTTTGTGGCTCTAGAGAGCATGCTATCTGTTGAATAGAAATGGAGATTCCTTGGAGGCTAAATGGAGATGATTGCCAATTAACCTGAGCATGCCAGCTGGAGTGGAATGCAGCATTTGATCCAGCTGACACTGTGCTGACATAACTTCAGTGGTAGCTGAAGCTATGACTTGTTTGCCTTTTCCACTGATTAAGACAAGATGTTCATGTAGCATTCGTTTTCTTTTGCTGAGAACTACAGTTCTTCAAATACTGTACTGTAGAAGTGGCTAGAAAGGGGGAAAACTTGGTAGTGCTGTATATATTTATTTTTGAAAAAAAAACTGATTATTTTAAGCAATTTGCAATAAAAATAGTTTGGATGGAAAAGAACAAAAGAGAAAAAAAACGCTATGATAAGTTTTGTTTCAGACCACGCTGTAGTGGAACATGACCTTGAATTTCAGATTCTGTGGCAGCTTCTACTTTATGAATATAGATAATCTGGTGGATTTATTTTGTCTTTTACTAGAAGAACAGGCAATGTCTCTGGCTCTTACGACTGAACTTCTAAATACACAGATTCTTTTATGTTTGTTTATATACATACATGCATTATATATGTATATATGTTACCGTACTTTAGCCTTGAATTATGTCCACCTCACACTTTGATTACAACCAATATAAAATAACCAGTAATGCCATTAAACCAGTGCAATAAACAGGAGCACAACAGATGATGGTAAAGTCACGTGCACTAGATCCAGATGAAAATTTAATGCTGAAAAAAACATAAAAGTGGAAGAATTAGATTAGTCTAGCTGGGGAGGACTTGTTAAAAATTGAGCCCTCTCCCCAGTGAGTACCCTAGTGGACAGCTTACTGTTCAGAATGAAAAGCTTAGACTGTGTGGGATTTCCAGGAGATACAGCATTTGCTTACTTTCCGTCTCTGTTTTTCAACATTTTTGTTACTTTTTAAATAGGTGTTTTGTATTTACATTTTGAGATGGTAGGTGGTAGTCATCTAATTTTAATATTTATATACACTTGTCTGTTTAATTGTTAACAATTTATTTATTCTGTTTTATACAATTGTTTTTAAACGCTGCAGACCACCTGGGGTCCCTTATATAGGGAGATGGGCACTGTATAAATATAGGCGGGCAAACTGAGAAGTGCAGAACTTTATTCTTTATTTTACACATAGCAAAATGCTGAAAAACTGTAGAACTTTTGACATTAAACTCCTGGTATTCAGAATGGTGACAATTTGCCATAGCAAAAAAAAAACACAAACAAACAAAACTAATGTATCAATTTACGAGTAGTTAGAGGTAAAGGCAGAAAATCAGATTTCTGTGAAACATGGCATAACTTCATTTTTAAAATACAGATCCAAAAAGTACCCAACGTATGTCTACGTCTTTCCTCAGATTATCGAAAAGAATGAAATGCAAGCTGTAAAATAAATAATGGTACAGAAACTCTCTACCACAGAGGTCCCCAATCCCCAGTCCGCAGCCCAGTGCCGGTCCATGGCCTGAGCCCGACTGGGCTGCGGAGAGAGAACTTTCCCCCCACCCCTGCACACAGTCCCCCAGCCTTTTTGTGCCTGTGTGCGAGCGCACAAGTGCCAGCACGAGCGCTGCTCTGCCCTTTGCGTACAAGTGCACATGCGCACGAGTGCTGTGCCGCCCTTTGTGCATGCACGCTGCGTCTTCACCCATTTGCACAAGCGCAGGAAGGGCTAAAAAGCAGGGCTAAAAAGGTTGGGGACCGCTGGTCTACAAGATTGGTGAATTCTTAAATTTATAATGGCATGAAATTGAAAAAGGTATTAAATATTGAACCTTCTGCCAATAATTGGGTTTCAACTTCATGTTAGTGTTGCCCTTTTTTGTTCATCGTTTAAAAGGTTTCCCTGTTTTTGCTTCCTTTGGTTATAGTTTTTTGTTTGAAAATGTAATAAAATTATTTTTAAAGGATTTTTTTTTGCCTAATGGTAGATGAATAGCAAGGAGGATGCCAAACTGTCCTCTTGAAGGAGGACATTCCATAGTCTGGGAGCAGCTACTGAAAAAGCACCCTCTTATATCCTCACCAGGTGAATCTGAAGATGGTAGGACTGGGAGAAAGGCCTCCGCTGATGATCTTAACAATCCTGGTGGAGACGTGATCTTTCAGATAGCCTGGCCTCAGACCTCTTGGTCTT